GGGGGGGAGGGGTTGGAGGCGTGAGGGGTTGCGACAAGAGGGAGCGACTAGTAGGAGCAGCAAAGCTTCACAGATCAGCAGAGTACAGAGTAAAGCAAAGCTGCTGATTGGGTGTCTACAACCAAGCAACGGGCGAGCACGGTGAGAAGCACCTCGGTCAGGCATTGGCCCTCACCCAGCACCCCAGTGCAGCGCGCACGCGCAGTCATGATGCGGGCAGGAAGTGCAGGTACTCACGGGCAGGCGTTGACGATGGCCGGCACGATCAGCACGCCGCCGCCCACCCCCACCAGGCTGCCGAAGCCGCCTGCTGCTGCGCCGACCATCTGCGCTCCGCGAATGGCCAGGCAGTGGGTGGTGCAGGAGGCGGTGGTCATGCGGCAAAAAGCAAGGGTGGCTGGGCTGCGGGCGCTGGTCCTCTACTTGACTGCAGTGGCCCACCCTACCCAACGAGGGAGGAGCGCAAGCAAGAGCTGTCATCCCTGCAATTCACAGCAGCGGGGGCGCAGCCGGTCCGCTGGATGGCATGGCCGCCTACCAAGGCCAGGCGGCGGGCCTTGGACAGGATCTTGGGTTCGATGTCCTTGAGGCCTGCCCGGTGTGGACAAGGGGCTCTTGGCTTGGTGAGGCTGCACGTCGATGTCAGAATGCTGGCAAGGGATGCATAGGACAGCAGAGCAAAACTGCAGCAGGGGCGCCGGGCACGTGCAACGCTGATACAGTCGGCGGGTGTTTGAACCAAACATGCAGCTCAATGCTCGTGCGCCCGCCGACGCACCAGCTTAAGCACGCGGCAGAAAAGATGTCTTCCCTGCGCACGCACCTGTTGCGATGGCACGCGGTGCGACTCTCCAGGGCCCGCCTGCAAGCGCATGAGAGGGGGTGCCGCCAGCGCCCGACTGCAACCGCGCCCGCCATAACATGCCTACCGCCGCCCTGCGCATTGTAGCCAGCTGCGATTTCCGGGACTGCTGGCACCGCCGCTGCTGCAGACGCCGTTGCGATAAAGGAGGCCAAGACGTTGGAACGACTACAGGAGGCCTAGGCCAGGGGCTGCGGACCTTGCCTCAGGGATCTCCAGCCGATGCGCGGCCTGCCAGCAGGGGGCGCCACACTGCCGCCGCAGCCTCACTGGGCGTCTTTGCCCCCTGATTGGTTGGCGGCCTCGTCAATCTCCTTCCACATGCCTGCGGGGCGCAGCGTCAGCGCTTGAGTGGGTGCCGTGGTGCTGAAAGCCGCCTGGCAACATCCAACTGCAAACCAGCATGCACACACCCCTACCCTCTTGATTGCGCTTGCGCAGCAGGCATCAGGGAGCCTGGGCTCACCCTTTTTGCTGAAGCCCGGCCCGAGGGAAGGGTCCCGCGCCTGCAGTGACATTGACGCATGAGCCTGTGTGATCCAGGATACAGAGCCAAGCAAGTCCGGCACCACAAGGGCCGCGGCTAGACCGTTGTGCCAAGCACTGGCCCAGTCGCACCCAGGGGCCCCTCCCAGGTCCCTGCACAACGCAGTGGGAAGCCGCACCGGCCGCTCGCGCCCGCCGTAGGCAATCTGCAGGGGCACAACCACGGTTGGGTAGAGGCCGGCGCCAATGACGGTGACGATCACGGCCACCTGCGGGCGGTGTCGAGTGCAGCCTGGGTGAGCGTGTGCGTGCACGGCAGTGCCTAGTGATGAAGCACAGCGCAGAGCGCATCGCTCGCCGCAGTTAGTTATGTGCGCTCTGTCGAGGTGCGAAACTCACGACTACTTTGCTGCGCCAGTCCCCCCCAGCCATGAACACAGGCAATGCTCTAAGTGATCTCTGGGGATTAGTGGCCTCTGAAGCAGTTTGTGGAAGCAATAAAGCTTCAGTGATGTTTGCAATTGACAGCAACGGGCCACGAGCCTGGAACAATTTATCACCCGGGTTACAACGTGACGCGCCGGATCACGCGCTGCTACTGTGTGTCATGGGGATCGTCAATATATGACGATAGAACATGGTGCATGTGTAGAGCTTGATCCAAGTATTTGCACGTACCACCAAATTATTTATGAGCGTTCCCGTGGAGGCCGTGGCAGCGTCTCAAGACCCGCACATTAATTGGGACGCTATATCAGATGCCCTGACAGGGGCGGCCCACCCCGTTGGCCCTACCGACGCCACGCCGCTTGATCGCTTGCAGCAGCAGCTGGCAGCGCACGTGCCTTTCGAATGGACTGCCAGCATTCACTACTTGAACCGTCACGGCAACAGTGGTGAAAATGACCCTCCCAACGACCAGCAGCATCAAGCACAGCAGGAGCAGCAGCAGCCGCAGGCGAAGCGCGCACGCGTTGCACAGCAGCGGCCACCACCCGCTGCGCGCCGCCCCTGCGCCCCCCGCCCCGGCCTCTTCGCGGCCGCCGCCGGCTGCCCCTCAACCGGCGTCCACGTCTTTGGCGGCCTGGAGGCACGGCAGTCCACCGTCAAGGCGACCGCCGATGACGCATGGCTGAGCGAGGGCGGCCCGATGCGCCAGGAGCCCGATTTCAGCCGCGTCATCACAAAGCCTGCTGACCTGGCCGCCAGCGCGCGTGTGCAGCGCGTCGCGCCCATCAGCATGCGAGGTGGCGGCAATAGCGTTGGAGACGAGGATGCCGACGGCAGCGAGGGAGGCGAGGGCAGGGGGGATCGGGACGGCGGCGGCGCGTGGCGCATGCACGAGGCGCGGCACCAGCTGTCTTGCGGGCTAGTGGGACATTCCGCGGCGCTGTACAAAGGGCGTGTGTACATATTTGGGGGGCAGCTGGACGAGCGCGCAGCGGACTACGCACGCTCGTCTGGTGAGCATATCCTTGTACATGGTCACTGGCGAGGTGGCCATATTGGGGGCTATCGTTCGGAAGAACCAGAGAAGCGGCCGCTGCAATCAGACAGCAGCAGCAGTTTTTGCAGCAGTCACGCCCACACGCTTTCCGCCCCACACGCTGCGCCCTGCGTGCGCGCTCGGCCCCGCAGACGCCCCCACCGGCGCTTCCGTCTGCTGCGGCGCGCTGCGCGGCTACGCTGTCACGCGCCAGGGCCTGCAAATGCCGGGCGGCGCGGAGCAGCTGCCAGTGGTGTCGGACACCGTGCCCCAAAACGGCGAGCCGCCCGGCCCCAGGTGCGCCGGGCTTCTGCCAGCCTGGGAGGCGTTACCAAGCGCAACTTTCCTTCACCTCTGTCATTGCCGGCCACTCACCTCATGCTCCTCCGCCACCCCTGGCGCGTTCGTGTTGGCCCTCACAGTCCCTCCTTCTTCACCCTTCTCGCACGTGAGACCTCGTGCGACCCCCCTGCCCTCCACCCGCACCGCCCCCCAGGATGCACCACAGCGTGGCGGTTGATGAGGAGGGGGGCACCATGTACCTGTACGGCGGCGTCACATTCACGCGCGCGTCCGGGCAGAGGCGGCCGGCCGACGCGAAGGCCGGGCTGGTGCACGCCTACCGCTTCGCGACGGGCACCTGGCAGCGGCTGGCGACGGAGGGTGCGCGCGGGTTGCTCGGCGGCGGTGAGGCGGCTGCGCGGGGGGAAGGGGGGGAGCGCAGTTGGGTGGCGTGCATGTCCTGGTTGTGCGCCACCTGGATTGGTCCAGCAGTTAACGCCTGGTTAACCAACATGCATCCCCACATCAACATTCACCACCAGTACGGGTTGCTGTTCATGGGTTGGGATCTGCAGCTGCCTGGTTGCTTCGTCTCGCCCTCATTGGCCTGCTCCAATGCCCTTCAACCCCAGGGGACTACCCAGTTAGCACGACCCTGCTGGCCCTTGCATTCCACAAGGGCGCCCTATGGGCGCTGCCACAGCTCCCGCCGCCCTCGGCGGGGGCGCTGCCGTCGCGGGCGCGGGCCGCCGGCTACCGCCTCCACCGGCTTGACCCTCTCAGCCGGCGGTGGACCGTGGTGGCCACACAGGTGGGTGGGCTGTGTCGCTGGATGACAGCCGGGTGGTTGCGTGCAGCCGAGGTAGTCACGTGATTGCTGGAAGCACGCAATGTGGGCGCAGCCATGTGAAGAGCGCTCTTTGGTCGCAGAGGGGCGGCCTGTGGCAGGCCGGCTGAATTGTCGGTGGTGGCTGCCAGCAGGCAGCCAGCCTCTTGTGAGTGTCGTTGAGCCCGCCGCCCACGTGAGCCACTCCACCCTCCCCGTGCCTCCGCCACCCACGCGCCCCGCAGGGCGCCGGGCCCCCGCCGCGCTGCGAGTCGGCCGCGGCGTTGCTGGCGGACTGCGGCCGGCTTGTGGTGTTTGGCGGCCGCGCGTTGGCGCAGCCGCGCGGGTTGCTGTCTGATGCGTACTGCCTGGACTTGGAGAGCGACCCCCCCGCCTGGACCCAGCTGCAGCCGTGGCTGACCTGCACCCAACACGCAGACAGCGGCCGCCGGCATGCGCAGCAGGCGGCGGGCGGCGGCGGCGGCGGCGGCATGCTGGCGGTGGCGGGGCACGGGGGGGCGGCGCTGGGTGGGCGGGCGGTGTTTGTGGGCGGCTGCAGGCGGCACGACCTGCAGGAGCCAGAGGCGGTGGTTCAGGTGGGTAGGGTCCAATCCAGAGCCAAGTGCACTCACGCATATCAGGGCAGGCATGGCATGTTGTGTTGCCTCCATATAGCCCGGCTGCCTGTTGCGAGCGGCACTCTGCACATCGCCGCTGTCTGCACCTGGACTCTACTCATCTCTACCACCAAACGCTGTATGCGCCGTGTCGCGCCCGCGGCATTGACTCGTATGATCAGGTGCTGGAGCGCGCCGTGGTGCCCCCAACGCCGGACGCGGCCGGCGCGAGCGAGGCGTCTAAGGCCCGCCAGCACTGCCGGCAGCAGCTTGCCAAGATGCTGCGGCAGGCGGGCGGCGGCGGCGCGCAGGCGCGTTGGTGCGGCAGCGGGCGGCTGGGAAAGAGGGACGGGCGAGGAGCCATGTCAGCCGAGGGTGTTGGAACGCTGCCATGTCCAAAGGCGGCACGATGCCAGAAGGATGGCTGGGCGGTCGGTAGCTGGAGCATCAAATGCGTGGTGTGGTCGTCGTCCCCCCATGTTATCGTCTGCCCCTCATCCCTCAAGCACTCTGCACCTCGACATGGGCCCCGCAGGTGCTGCTGGTGCCGAGCGGGGGCGGCACGCCTGTGCGGCTGCCGGCCGTGCTGCTGGCCCTGCACTCGCGCCTCTTCCTGGACATGCACCAGTCCGGCATGTTTGACAGCGACGGCGGCGACGGCGGCGGCGTCATCGGCGGCGCTGCTCCCGCCCACGCAGCTCAGGTGAGGGGAGTGCTTCTGCTGGGTACCGCGGCGTGCACGCACCCGAGACGCCACTGGAAGTCGATACTGCCGTGTCAGCCATCGATTGTCGGCTTGGACCATGGCTCAGGGCTGTATCCACCCCCGGGCGTCGCCTCTCTGAGCATGAGGAAATCTGGACATTGAGAACCCGCGACACCCCGATGCACCTGCGCGTGTACCCCTCCCCACCAGGTGCCGGTCGAGGGCGTGGGCGCGGGGGAGCTGCGGCTGCTGTGCCGGTGGCTGGCGGGCCTGGCTTGCCTTGACGCGCTGCCGCTGGCCGACCTCGCACGGGTGCGCGGGGGGCTGGAGGACGGTAATTCCTTTTCTAAGCACGCGCACGCCAACCCATGCATACTGCTACGTTGCCCTCGGCTTGTCAGGTGTAAAGTGCCCGGGCCCAGGGGTTGCCAGGGATTCAGTCAGACAACCGCCGGAAGCTTGGGAGTCGCGGCGCCTGACCCTTGTTGCGACATGGATGGGAGACCTCCAATTCGTTGTCCTTCAACACCGGGACTCTCCCGTTGTTGAACGCGCCGGTCATGGACCCAGGTCCATCTGGCTGCTGACCGCCTGATCATGGAGGGGCTCATGGCAGAGTCGCTGGGGCTACTGCTCAGCGCGCGGCCGGGCGACCATGCCGGTGCGGCTGCGCTGCTGCGGCTGGCAGGTGAGCGGGTGCGCTTGCTCGGACGCGTTTCACGCTGGGGGTTTTGTGGTGCTGTAAGCACCGCTGCCTGCTGCGGGACTGCAGCCGTGTCAGGGCTGCAAACGGCATGGTTGCTGCGTGCTCCAGCACTCCCAACCCGCTGTTCTTTGCATGAAGTGTGTTCGCCCATACCATCCGCCCCTGCACTCACATGATCGCTGTTGCAGCGGAGCTGTCGCACCGGCCAGGGCTCCAGGAGGTCGGCGACAGGGCGGAGCAGCTGCTGGCCGACGCAGCCACCCCACACAACGCGGCGCAAACCATGGAGCTTGCCGTCGCCTGCGGCCGGGCTGCCCTGAGGGTGCGTGCCAGCTGGCCGTGTGCATGTGGGGGCTTGGCAGGCGTGGGGTGGGGCTTGATGCGCGACCATGTGGCCTGCAGCGCTTCCTGCGTACCAGGAGTGTGCATACCTGCGCCAACCCGCGTGCGACGCGCACACAGGCTCAGGCAATCTGTTTCTCAACCCTGTCTTTGAAACAGTACCCTCTCATGCCTCAGCCAACATCATGAATGACAACCCCTCCAACCTCCCTGTATTTGCCCCCAGGATCGCTGCATGGCAATCATGCTGTCATACCGTAAGGACGATGTTTGGGCAGTCCTACGTTTTGCACTGCGCTTTGCGCTGCCAAAGCTGCAGGCCGCCTGCCTGGTGTGGCTCAACAGCACGACCAAGGGGCGGCTGCTTTGGCATGCAGACACCGTGGTGGCTGTCACGGAGCAGCACTGTCTTTCAGCAAACGCCGGAGCACAGGGAGCAGCCGAGGGTAAAGCAGCAGCAGGAGGAGCTGAGACGGCGGGGAGCGGCTCGAGTGTGGGCAGCGGCGGCAAAATTGTGGCGGCCGCTGCACGACAGCTGCCTGTGATCGAGATGCTGGAGAGGGACCTTCTGGCTGAGCAGCAGCCCGCAGGACTCAAGCAGCTGGGGAGCTATGTAGCAGCTGCCGAGCGGCTGCGGCTAGTGCGGCTCAGGGACGGGCTCCTGCAGGCAGTAGCTGGGCAGTGGAGCGCGCTCGCGACCGGGCAGCCCCAGCTGGTGAGCGACAGGTGGTTGCCTATGTGCGTGTATGTGCATAGCCGACCACATGGGGTCTACTTCAAGTCTGCAAACTCTTGTTCGTTGGAGGTGGATCGCGCAGCCAGCGCTTGGGTCTGCAAGCACATGTGCTCCTGCCATAACGCTGAGCATGCAGGACTCTTTCCTTCTCTTGCTGGCACATTGGTCAACGGCTAACCCGTAACTGATGCATCGTGCTGCCCACCCTCCACACTCACCCTGCCCCCAGCTGCGTGCGCTCAACGAGCAGCACCCGGCATTCATGGCGGACGCGGCGCGCCGAGCCGGGAGCGGCAGGAGTCACAATGGCGCAGAAGAGGCTGCCCATGAACCAGTTTTTGACGACGTGGATGCACTGTTTGATTGATGAAGCGTTGCACAATCAAATGGCGCCACCTCGCCTGATGCGTGCGCCCTGGCCCTTTGACGCCGCTGACAATGATTGAGTGCAAATGTCCACCAGAGTGGAAGGTCTGCAATCTTGCAATGACGGCACAACCTCTGATTGTCTACCAAGGAGGTATCGATGTGCAGCAGGCATCAAGCGTATATGCAGGACAACTATACCCAACACACCAACTTGCAGCTGCAGCAGCTGAGAGTAGAGGAGCGATGCCAGGCTACCGTAACATGCCCCTAAGAACAGGAGTGCCATTCCGCTCTGAACAAGAAGTTTCCTTCTGCACTGATTGCTGCAATATGTCGTCATCTGTGCATGAGTCCAATCACGGAATCACCTACTCGCCTGCCGAGCCGCCCCAGCAGGGGTTGCCTGCTCAGCACCCACAATCCAACAATGCCTTCGCTCCCTGAACTACCACTGAGTTTTGGGTTGATTGATGACTGAACATATAGGTAGTTCACACACCAGACGAGGTTCAATTTACAAGACCGCGCAGATCACGCGGTGAAGGTGTGAGGGATCCTTGCTCTCGCCTGCATCAAATACACAAACATTGTAACTTCTGTAAGCTGCAGACCTTCGGGTGGTCTGATCGAGTGCCATTGGCACTGGGAGCGTTGCGTGCACACATCCGTGCTGCCCATGCTGCGCTGGCCGCCAACGCCACTGAGGCCAATCTCACTATTGCCGAGCCCGTCGCAGCTGGATGGAGCAGCTGCAGACCTTCCTGGGCCCATACGCCCTGCTTGGATATGTCGAGGAACAGCAGCCCCACCCTACGCCAAACACGCAGCCGCTGCTGCAGAGCGTGCAGTTTGCGCAGGTGCACCCACAGCAGGCCCTGCCCGAGCAAGAAGGACAGCAGGATGTGCCACCCGGGAGACACTCACGGCAGCAGCAACCGCACGAGCCCATGGAGCTGCCTCCTAAGTCGCAGCAGCCGCAGCAACCCCTGCAGCGGTTGCCAGTGCAGGCCGATCATGTGCGCTGGCTGCGGAGCCAGCAGCGTGCAGCAGAGGCCGTGGCGCAGGTTCAGCAGGCGCAGGATCTGAAGTGGCATACAGAAGCCTATGATCAGTGGCAGCAAGCACACAAGGAGCAGCAGCTGCACCAGGATAAGCTGCAGCAACAGCAAGGGCAGGTTGAGGGGCGCAAGCAGCAGCAGCAGCAGCAGCAGCAGCAGCAGCAGCAGGAGGAGGAGGAGGAGGAGGAGGAAAAGGAGGAGGTTGAAGAGGAGGAGGAGAGGGAGGAGGAGGAGGATGAAGAGGAGGAGGAGGAGGAGGAGGAGGAGACTGAGAAGCACGCCGAACAGGTGCAGGCACAGGAACATGCATCAGAACAGCAGCCAAGCCAGCTGATGGCTGCGCGCGTGACACGAAGCGGGCGCGCCGGTCGTGGACTGACCGACCTTCCCGACTCCATTCTGGTGAGCTGCAGGGCCACATGATGCAGCACGCAATCCCTCTGGATTATCTGGGTCATCAGTGCCTCCCACTTTCGGTACCTCAAGACACATTCTACACACGCTCCAAGCCTCTCCTCAGTGTCGTCGTGTAGCAAAGCGCAGCCTTCTTCCTGGCTTCCTTCCTGCCGCCGACAGGCTGAAATCGTGCAACGCCTCGTCCCTTCCAAGGCGCACAGCGCGCTCTGGCCCAAGTCAGGTAAGCGGGCGCCTGCAACTGCTGGCAGCCCCGATGTCTGTACAGCCTTGCTATCGCGCTCGGCTGCGATTGTCTTTTCTACGCCACGCGCCAATCGGGTTTGATGCATACCACTCCGCAATAAGGCGAGGGCCCACACGAATGTGCTGCTGCAGAAGCACATGCAGGTGTCGCTTCGTCAAGATTTCATTTTCCTTCTTGAGTGTGTTGCCAACCCTTTCTTGGCATATTGCAGAGATCTTCCTTCAAACCCTCGGCCTTGCCCTCACCTGCAAGCGCGCCTTCACCGTGGTCGCGTCCCTGGTCTGGTGGCCGCACTGCTGGGCGTACAGTGCAGGGCTGCCGGCGCTGCCCCCCGAGGTGGCCGCCTTTGGCACTGCTTCGGAAGAGCCGCGACTGCGGCTCAAGCCGCATGATGTTCCCATCGCCAATGTTGACACCCTCAAGAAGTGAGCCCAGCAGGGGGATTGAGCCGAAAATTGCTGTCAACCGTTGAGCAGTGCAAACGCATGCATGTAGCCATCCACTTCTGCATATATGATTTGCCCAGTTGCTTCTGGTCCACACATTCCTCCCCATGCGACAACGCCCCTTCTCACAAAGCAAGGTGGCTGCGGGAGCTGGGGCGTTCTACCAAGGGCAACAAACTTGATCTCGTCACCCGGGTATTGGGGTGCCTTGGAGATGACGGCGTGCCGCGCGCCAGGCCCCAACTTCCAGAGTGGTTCAAGCAGTTGGTGCGTACGAATGACGCAGCAGCTGCCGAGCCAGCAGGCGCCCAGTTGGCAGCTGCTGGGCAAGTAAGGAGGGGGGCGGGTTGATTGCAGCAAACTTGCCGGGCTGATGGACCCGGATGAATTCAGCGTTCAGAATGTGTCATTCCACCGCAGCCGGGGAGATGGTGCAGGGGCTTGCACACACCAATGCTCTGTATCAGGGATGACACGGCCGCATCTCATCGCTGCAGCTCGCGGCCCCCATGCGGTCCCTTCCCTTGCTGGCTACGCCCACAGTTCAAGGCTTTGAAGCGGGAACGTGCACAGCGGGTGTGGCAGCATGACGCGATGGATGAATACCACCTAGACAGGTGGGCCCCGCGTTGGAGGATTCTTGTGGCCATGGAAGCAGAGGACATAGGCCGTACCAGCCAGGCGCCACCCAACCGTGCGGATCTTACACTCTCACGTGTGTGCAGACTTACAGCAGAAGAGGCATCCCGTAGGTTTGCCTAGAGAACGACAAATTGACGCACGCACGCATGCACACACGCACGCACCGCCGTGCACACAACAATACGCTCAAGCGCACTCGCGCGTTGTGCACCCTCTGTCGCTATGCATCTCTTGAACCAGGAGTGACTTCAATTTTATTTTTCATGAGGAGAAGGTCAATTTACATGACAAAGATGCGGAACCATGGAAGGTGAGGGGCGTATCCCAACTGCATTCAGCACAGGGATGCTGAGAGGGTGGTGCCTCTGAAAGGCTGGTGCGCATATCTGCGAAGCTGCATGTGGTGCAAGAGCACTTGCTAGCCAGGGGCTTCCTGAATGCAAAGTCCAAATTCTCAATGCTTCCTAATCCTGCTGAGCCTGCGTCGCTTTCCCGCCTCCCC